TAAAATTTATAGACGTCTTTAACTTTTACTACCAATATAATGAAAGAAAAATAAACCAATATGACGCGAATAGAAACTAAATAAATGTAGAGAGAAGTGTACGTTAACAGTTTAAATTTTATTCAATCTTTATATTGAAAGTATAATTTAAAAGGCATTAATCCAGATTTTAGTAAGCATTCATAAGGAAAATCTCGTCAGTAGCACTAGTACGTACTGATTTAAAAGCAAAAAATAAGTAGACACAGTAAGCATGATAAAACAAATTAAAATGGACAATGGTGATCAAAGTTAGCCAGTTTGAATGGAAAGATATATGCAAAGTACTATATAACCAACATAAGAATCACAACAGAAGCAAACTGTGATACAGACCGCTTAGTATATTTTACTAATACATCAGTTTCTCTTATAATTCTTACTTTCACACCGGTTATTACATTAAGACAATAATTAACATAATAAATACTGAAAGTCGATATAAACTTTTTTCAATATTATAATATAAAGCCATCAGAAAGAGAGGATGAATATATATGTACAATCTAGAACCCGCTGGTTGTCTTCCTTGTGCATTAAGTGTGTATACTACCATAGAAAATAAAAGCGAAAAAAGAGAACTATGTGAAACTCTATTTAAAAAATAAACAAGTTATATGCATATCCTTAATATTTACAGAAGATTATACATATCCCTAATATTTACAAATTAAATATACGTGATAAAGATATAAAAAAGTAAATATTTATAACTTGAATTGCTTTACAAAAGGTAAACAAATTAGCGTAAAATCACAGCTGTTTTTGAAAACTGAATATTATGAATCGACCTTTGGTTATCTATATTACACAAATTAATCGCTTGTCTACAAAAGAAATCAGGAATATGCTAAAATATTATAAGACAGGACAGACCAATGACTTTTCCAGCTGATTGGTAGATAAATATAGTAAAACAATAGGATAATTTTAAATTGTGATGAAGTTACATTTTTTTTTATTGAGTTAATGCCTCGACAACTATGATCATTGGCATGGTACAGTCAGGTACCTAGTGTAGTGTGTGTGTGTATGTGTAGAGTAATTGTCTTGATACTTAGCAAAGTCGACGTCATTGTCTTTGCTAAGAGACGCTAATTGTATCCGAACGTCTGCGATCCCTCTGGTGAGTACCGATCGCGCAAGGATAGAAATTATTTTCATTCATTAATTTTTAATAAACGAAAATTTCCACCCAGGTGAGATTCGAACTCACGACCTTTAGATTTAAAGGTAGGCGCTCTTACCACTGAGCCACAGGGGGGGTTGAAGTTAAATTAAAATGTTTCAAATAAAGATTAAAAGTATGAATAAACGTAGTTAAATATAACATAAAAAATTATGTCTTTTTCGATTACAGCAACCACAAAAGTAGTGGAATGCGCACATACACAGATATGCGAACACGAATACTAAAAACGGCACAGATAAAAAAAATGGCTGGACGCTATTGAAGGAGTAGCTTTCACTACTGTAGGTACTGTCAGGAACGGTTTGGTAGGTCCGAGGGATCATACCGCTTTAATCTCTTCGCTTGTTGGTTGTGGAGAAGATTGTATTTATGGTGTTAGAATGCTCGCGCAACCTGTTCAGGGTATTAGGATGCACGCGCAACCTATTTTGATATTGTTTAGAAATTCGTTTACATTAAAATCTTTGTATTTTCATAACATTAGATTTGCTACCTGATCCCTAGAACTGGTAACCATATGACCAAACGGGTTTTATTATAACTTTGTATATCAGCAGCTTGTTGTCGATCGATAGGTGTGAGTTTTTTCCCAGCATCCAGTAAAGTTTTCTGTATAAAATTCCTAGTTGTAGTATTTTTGTTCATATATGTTTGGCCCATGTTAATCTTTTGTCCAGATCAATGCCTAGATATTTTAAGTCATCCTTTTGGAGTAAAGGATATCCATCGAGGTTGTGGACATATACCTCTTCCTAGGGTAAATGTAATGTTTGTGGACTGTGAGGGATGTACTTTAATTCTCCAGAGTTTAAACTATTCATTAGTTTTGCTTAGAGGTAGTTGCAGTATCCCTGATGCTACTACTGGATTACTATGAGATGTTAGGAAAGCAGTATCATCTGCAAATGTTGTAAGCCTAAGGTTATTGCTTGTTGGTAAGTCAGACGTATATAACAGGTACAAGATTGGTCCGAGCACACTACCCTGAGGTACGCCAGATTTGATGGGGTAGAGTTTTGTGTGGACTTCACTATACCTTACTAGATATCTTATTTCTGTAAGTTATAATATAAGCAGTTTGAAGTAAGTGTAAGGCAGGTTTTTCTTTAACTTGTACAGAAGTCCTGTGTGTTACGCCCTGTCAAAAACTTGAGAGACATCTAAAAAGGTTGCAGTACAGTATTTCTTAATTTCGAGACTAGTTTCCTTTGTTGTGTATAATATGCGAACTTGTTTTATTGTAGCGTGTTGGCTTCGAAATCTGAATTCATGGTCAGGTTTAAGAGCATTTATATCCAATATTGGTTTGATTTTTCTCAACAGAAGTTTTTCAAAAAACTTTGAAATGACTGGGAGTAAACTAATCGGTCTGTATGAGCTGACATCTTTTGAATCTTTTGGGTCTGGACGAGGTTTTTGAATGAGTATAATCTGTGCCACTTTCCATTGCAAAGTAAAGTAAGGCAGACATAACATAGCATTGAAGATCATTGTAATTATTTTGTAGCAATCATGGGTTAGTTCTTAAAGGACCTTGCCTGTAATGAGATAATATCCTGACGTCTTGTTGGGTTTTATCTCATTTTTTATTATGTATTTTAATTCTTTAATGTTAAGTTGGAAAATTGGTAGTTCCATTTGATATAGAGCTTCAAGAAAAAAATGAAGTGGTTATTTTTATTTTACAGACACTTCTATGGTACACTCAATACTTTTCAAAAGATGTTCTGCGAATGTCTCGAATTTCTCTGTATCTGGTCTTGCCGATTTACCTTTAACATTTTTTAAAGGAGGTATGGTATCTTGTGGCCCTTTTAATTTTCTCGTTGCTTTCCATAAATTCCCCTTATTTTTTCTTCTTTTAACAGATTTTTAACAGAATGGGAGAATGGTCTGACAAAAGGTCCCAACGTGATTCTATTGCGCAGTAGTTAAGAGATATACCTTTAACCACGCAGAAATCTATACACCTTGTTTTGATTACCCTAGATCCCCAGTTTTGATGTTTTCAGTTGAATTAATTTGTGTCCAAGACTCCTAAAGTAGGTATTGAAGTTGTTTTCGTTAATGGATTTGCTAGGAGGACAGTAGACTGCAGAAAAGGTAGGTTTGCTTAGCCAGTCTTCAATGACGATGCTAGTTGATTGTAGGTACTTTTCACTGAACTTCTTTAACTCATGATGTTTTATATTTGATTTGATGACGAGCACCATGTGCTTTGTCATTTGGATGTTCTGTGTAGTGAACAATGTATTTTAGAATTTTAATATAATTTTTGTCTGTTAGATGAGCTTCTGATATGAGCGTTACGCCAACTTTCTTCTGTCGAGAAAAGTTTTGATTTCTTGGATATGCTTCGTTAGGCTATTTGAGTTCCAGACAGGTATTGTCTGTTTTGCATTAGTGCATTTTGGAAATTCTAGTGGTAAGGTGATTCAGCATAGTGTCTATTCTCTCAATTAGTTTGGTCATCAGATTTTCAAGGTTGGCAATTATTAGCTATAGATTTGTTGAAGAAATGTTTTCAGATATCCAATTTAAATGGAAAGATATATACAAAGGAACTGTATTACCAACATAAGAATCATGACAGGAGCAGACTGTAGTGTGGACCAATAATAAGTAAAGGCCCAGAATATAACAACAAATAAGAATTAGGCATATAGATAACAGTAAAAAAATATGATATTATAAGACTAATTCATACTAAAGAAAGTAAAACTCATCAGAGAAAGGTAAGATAAGAGAAAAGATCGAAACACAAGAAGCTTACTAATTACAAGGTAGAAGCTATGTCGCACCAAACGAATGAAGCGTTTTAGTAGTAAATGATTTTCTTAGCATCTTTATGTAAACGTAATAAGTAGGGCTAAACGAAATGTAGATTTTAAGACAGTATGGTTCTTGTTACAGTTTCACAACTATATATTATAAACACTTATAAAATATTAATAGACTTTGTAATAATTTTGATTCTGCTCGTATATTTAGCCAAGATTCCGCGTACAAAAACACAGACTCTATAGAACAATGAACGGTTGTTAAGTACTTTGTAGCAGACAAAAGAGTGTTCTTCTAGACATTATATATTAACAAAGGATGATAAAAAAATTAAAGGCTTTTGTTAAAAGCGCAGAACGCTTTGTATTTACATCCAGTAGGGGTGGAGGCTGCTTAGCCAAAAGAGACGTGTGTTGGAATTCTGGATCAAATTACACCATCTACACATCTCCAGATGCATACGTAGATATCGTCCCTGGACGCGTCTGCCGATGTGTAGAGGAGCCAGTAGATTTTATTATCTTTGAATGTATGTCTATTAGTTTTTTGCTTTTATTTGTTTCTAAATAAAGTTTATATAGTCTACTTGTTTATTATTTTTCTATGGAATATGCATACCCAATACGAACGGGAGAAACCAGCGGGGTCTAGATTGAATATAGACATTCTTTTTTCTTTCTGATGACCTCAATTGTTATATAGAGGTCATCGTATGTCAAGAAAGCAATAATTTAAAAAAAATACCTGTCAAAAATAATATGTTTACTTAATATGTATTTTTACACATTTATGAATTATTTTTATTTCTTTATATTATATTTCTAAGATATATGTTGCTAAGATGTATTATTACTTCATCAATATATTAATATTTATTTGTTATAGAAAATTTCATGTTAAACATTTTAACTGTAAGATTACGTTATAGATAGCTATTTTACTTTGGTTATAGTTCGTAAATAAGTTTCAAACAAGAAATCTTTTGCAGATGAGTTTTGCGAAGAATTTCCTCACAACTTTATTCCTACACCTGGATACTGGATAGAGTGTTCCCGACAAAAGATAACTTCCGATACCATCTGGGATGAAAGCGAGTCTGAGCACGATAATGAGATACAAGAGGGAGAAGAAGACGATGAGCTTCACACGGACGGGATGGATCATGACAACGGGATATCGGCGTTTCGAAGGAAAGATCGAAGTAAGTTGGTCAAACTTTTAATGTATATGTTTGTATAGAACTATCAGATAACACTTTGAAACTTAATAAATACTCGTAGTTTTCGTTTGTTACGGAAACTATTAGAAGGAAAAACTCGGTGATATTAAAAATTATAATTTAACGTGAGTTAAACTATTATTACTTTAAATAACTAAGGAAATAATAAATAAGACTTACTCACAATCAATTTAATTTAACTATCAGACGAGCGGTTTCGCTTTCTACAATATGCAAAGCATCTTCAGGTCTCGATACAAAGTTAAATAAATGCTGAAATGATAAAAACCCATATTAGGGTGTTGTCTAATAAAGATAAACAAAGTAGATGTTGTAAATTACAAAAATTATGCCAATATTACATGTCTGTGGTTTTATTTCAAAAAGAGTAAGTTGAATAAAAAGGTATAAAAAGTTTTAAAAGTTTAAACAGACAAGGTAAGGCCCACAAATTGTTATAAAATAGTCTATTAGATTGTAATAAATTAATAAATGAGCAAATAAATAAACATTACTTACATGCCGGTACTCTATTAATTGATGGATGGTAGAACATGGTTGAAACTACTATGTATTGTTGAATGGAGAACTCAATTCTGCTATTGTAGTTGTTTGACAGTAAACGGGAAGTTCTTGAGAAGATAGATTTGATCCAATGAAGCAGAGATATGTGTGTGATTGTTTGTTAAATGAAAGTGATGTAATATACCATTGTATTATTAAAAGTTATTTATACTTATTCGAGAGATATATTTATGAAATGTGTGTTATTTATTGAGTAATTGTTTTATGAAGGTGACAGTTTTATGACAATGAATAAGTTTAGATGTACAAATTGTGTGGGTGTGCAATTATTTTTCAACTTGTAGTTATCAAATTTCTTTGATAAAGTTCTATTGGCAAAATAGTAGATTATTGCAAAGTCAAGTAAATAAAATATTAGAATTAAAACAAATAAGGATAATTTAAAACACACTCGTCGGTCAGATAGCTCAGCGGGCTGTGCGGCTGCCTCTCATTCGCTTCACTGTCGAATGGTTTAGTGGATGTGGGTCGAGCCCAAGCTCGGTGTACAGAAAACAAAAAGTCTAACGCAGCAGTTTAAAATTCTAGATGAATCTGCGGCTTAGACTAGGATATGCTGGGTTCTGATCGGCCTATGGTGGAGCAGTACGGCAAGAGATAAGGGCTTGCGGCTCGGTGATACTCCTCCATAGATCCCTACCGGATGGGCGTAACGCCTAAAAAACCGGATATATATATATATATATATATATATATATATATATATATATATATATATAAAACACACTCAAACAGAAAACACTTAGAAGGGACGAAACAAACATTAAATTTAAAAGGGGGAAGGACTTTTATGCACTACATCTCAGTCTTGGGCACAATGAGTTTTTTATGTGTTATCTATTAGATTTTAGTGGTAAATTTGACAGATGTAGGTTAGCATGTGACAGTTCTTCTTCTGTTTCTCAGTACTGCAAGTTAAGTTATCTAGTTTTATGAAATATGCTGATATTAATGAATGTCTATAAATTGTTTCAATTAAGATATCAAAAATAAATTGATGTGTTTAATCTTGGCATACTTTAACAATCTTTGATTAATTAAATTTAAATGTAACAATACGAATAATTGAAATACATCCCACATTATAACTAACTCAATCTAATGTCGAAATTACTGAACAAATTAAAGTGATTCTTTGGCAACTGAACATGTACATTTTATAATCAAACGTATAACAACTTTACAAAAGTTTTTTATTTTTATTTGAAATTATTGTTGGTGTGAGTTATCTGTCATTGTGTTTTTAAATATTTTAGATATTTAATTCAAATTCTGATATATTAATATATTAATATCTGATATAATAATATGTAACCAAAGCAACAAATTGCCAATTATTGATGGTAATTAATTTATGGGCTCAAGAAATTAACTGAATTATAAAGCCTTCAATAATTAGTTGGTAGTTCTAATATCTGACAGTTGGAACCGGAAATTGTTATACGAACACGTAGAAAGATCCTCTATTTAAATCGGTATAAAGTAAATGTATTCTTATTACATGAAATTTATAAAGAAAAAGAAATTTAATAACTACAAGTTGAAAAATAATTGTACACCCACACAATTTATACATCTAAACTTATTCATTGTCATAAAACTGTCACCTTCATAAAACAATTACTCAATAAATAACACACATTTCATAAATATATCTCTCGAATAAGTATAAATAACTTTTAATAATACAATGGTATATTACATCACTTTCATTTAACAAACAATCACACACATATCTCTGCTTCATTGGTTCAAATCTATCTCCTCAAGAACTTCCCGTTTACTGTCAAACAACTACAATAGCAGAATTGAGTTCTCCATTCAACAATACATAGTAGTTTCAACCATGTTCTACCATCCATCAATTAATAGAGTACCGGCATGTAAGTAATGTTTATTTATTTGCTCATTTATTAATTTATTACAATCTAATAGACTATTTTATAACAATTTGTGGGCCTTACCTTGTCTGTTTAAACTTTTAAAACTTTTTATACCTTTTTATTCAACTTACACTTTTTGAAATAAAACCACAGACATGTAATATTGGCATAATTATTGTAATTTACAACATCTACTTTGTTTATCTTTATTAGACAACATCCTAATATGGGTTTTTATCATTTCAGCATTTATTTAACTTTGTATCGAGACCTGAAGATGCTTTGCATATTGTAGAAAGCGAAACCGTTCGTCTGATAGTTAAATTAAATTGATTGTGAGTAAGTCTTATTTATTATTTCTTTACCTATTTGAAATGGACTAACACAAGCAACACATTCATGATTTATTATTACTTTAGTAAATACCAGTTGAACAGGAAAAATGATTTGAAACTATGGGAGTGTAGAAAACCTAAAAAATAATATTTTGGAATTCACTTAAAGACATTACATTTGTGTGATCTTGATATTTTAGTGTAATAATTCGTGCCTAGTTCATAAACGCCTAAGATTATTAGGCACAGCGAAAGCTTTCTTTACTATAAGAGATGGTTGTGACTTTGGTGTTAAACATTTCAAAACAAATCTCTAGAATGGGTGTATGTCTTATTAACAAAAAAAGAATTATCTTGGCATGTTATATTATTCAGCGAATATTGGTTTTGGGTTTTGTTACTTATACTCACCTATGGAGCGGAAATATTAACACTCACAAAAAAGGTAGTTAATAAGATTCACGTGACTCAGATGGCTGTGGAGCGCCAGATGTTGGGTTGCTTTCTAAGATTCTTCTTCTTGTAGTTGCTTCTCCTATCGGAGGTAGGCTATAATCACAACTATCCGTGCCTTATTGGCGGCTGCTCTAAAAAGATCTACTGAGCTGCAACTATACCACTCTCCTAGGTTTCTCAGCCAGGAAATTCTTTGTCTTCCTATGGATCTTTTACCCTTGATTTTACCTTGCATTATAAGCCTTAATATGTCATATTTCGCATCTCTGGTAATGTAGCCTAAATACTCCAGCTTTCTTGTTTTGATGTGCTTTATGACCTCGTGATCCTTTTGTAGCCTTCTTAACACTTCTGCATTTGTAACTTGTTGGGTTTATGGTATATTCAAAATCCTTTTATAGCACCACATCTCAAATGATTCCAACTTCTTTATATTATCCACTTTTAGTGTCCAGCTTTCCAATCCATACAACAAAGTCGAGACCAAGGAGCAGCTTAAGGCTCTTATCCTTAGATCCAGAGGAAGGTCTCGATTGACAAACATTGTTTTTATTTTTATAAATGCTTGTCTTGCAATTTCAATGCGTGTCCTTATTTCTCTACCTTGGTCATTGTTTTCATTTACCAGGTTTACAGATATTTGTAGTTATTTACTTTTTCTACTTGTTTTCCCTCGATATCTAGCCTTCCTACTGTATCTTCTTCTTCTTCTTTGGGTGCCGTCTTCAATGAAGGTTGGCGATAACCTCAGCAAAATCATTTCTGTCCCTGGCTTTTCTTATTAAAGATTGAGAATCCAAACCAGTCCACTCACGAATGTTCTTCAACCAGGACGCCTGCCGTCTACCAGGACCACGTTTTCCTTCTACCTTCCCCTCTATAAGAAGCTGCAGTAGCTGGTATTTCTCATTTCTGTATATGTGTCCCAAATATGAGGTTTTCCGTGTTTTCATTATTTTTAAGAGTTCTCTGTCGGTACCCATCTTGTGTAGGACCTGCTCGTTGCTCATATGCGCTGTCCAGGGGACTTTCAGCATCCTTCGAAATAACCACATTTCAAAACTTTCCAAACGCCTTAGTGAGTTGATTTTGAAGGTCCAGGCCTCCATTCCATATAGTAAGGTGCTGTAAACGTAACATTTCAGCATTCGGTATCGGATTTTGAGATTGAGTGTTTAGGACGGAAACATTTGTTTCATTTTTAAAAAGACATTTCTTGCTTGTTCAATTCGCGATTTTATTTCTATGTCTGGATCTATATCTTTCGTTATCCAGCACCCTAGATATCGAAATTTCTCGACATTTTCGATAATGTTACCATTCACGTTTAAAGCCATGGGTGGATGGATGGATGTTTTGGAGACAATCATTGTTTTTGTTTTCTTGACGTTAATGCTGAGGCCGTATTGTTCTCCGATCGATCTGACGCGATCTAAGAGTGTCTGGAGATCCTGTGCGCTCTCTGCAATTAGGACCGTGTCGTCGGCGTATCGTACATTATTTAGAACTCTGCCGTTAATTTTAACACCTTCTCTTGATTGCTCTAGTGCTCGTGCAAAGATTTCTTCCGAATATATATTGAAAAGTAGTGGTGACAATACACACCCCTGTCGTACACCTCGCTTGATATTGAATATTTCTGTGTCACCGGCTTCTGTTCTAACTGCTGCAGTTTGGTTAAAATACAGTGTTTGGATAATTTTAAAATCGTTCTCGTCTAGTC